CTGGGCAGGCATTTTGACTAGCGAGAAGACAAACAGAAGCCTTGACAGTGGGTGGAGGCAGAAGATGGATGGCGGTAGGCAAGATGTTTGAACTGAAAATGGCCATAAGAGAGATCAACATCAAGTAACTGTTGCAAAGGAGAGATTTTGCTACCAACAACATTCCAGGCAAGGTGTAATTTATAAGCAGCAAAGGCAGCACCGAAGCAATGAACTTCCATTGATGTTAAACTTTTTCCTTCCAGAGGTTTAGCACTGTGCTCTCCCCATAGACAAATTTGTAAACGCAGGAGGAATTTTACATTTTTAAAGACTTTTCCTGGAGAAATGAAGGGAGCTGTAGAAATCTGTGGCACCTACATAAAAAGTAGATACAGTAGGACCGATACCTGATTTTGGTTATCAGGGCTTAATGCTCACTGGTCTCAGTAGAAATTGCACGCTCATATTCAGAGTCACTGTTTTGGTTACTCCTTGCATTACATGGCAGTACTTTGCGCTCTCTTGGATGCAGCATGTTATGTGTTCCTCTAACACTATTCATCTTGCTTTGGGAACAACGGGGAGGGGATGCCATTTGCTGCCTGACTCAAAGAGTAGGCATGTTTTGCAGAAGCTGGCTGTATTTACCAGCAATCACCTCGAAAAGGTGCATCCTCCAGTTGAACTGGATTTGCATGCATTACGCTGCAATTTTAATTTGCTTTTCTTCTTAACAAGCATTGCTTGCATACGGGTGTCTTTGCAGCTGATTCCTGGGGGAAGAAATTAGTTTCTAATTCACTTGTTAAAATGGAGAGGTAAGACTGCTTAAGGTACTATCTTAATGTCCATTGATTCTCATGCTAATCCAGATAAGATTTCTCATTGTTCCCAAGATTTCCTGAGGTCCTTCTCTACCACTGTTCCCTTTTTCTCTAACTTTAGAAATCCTCTGTTGTGTTTTAAACGTGCAGACTTACATTCAAAAGAGATGGGAGAGGAAGCGTGAGAAATTCAATCCTTTGTTAAAACACAAAAGCAAAATGAAAACATCAAGTTAAATTTGTGAACTGTTCTTTATCAGGACCACTCCTAGCATGCTCACAGATTGGGGCTGATCGGCTTTCTAAGGAAAGAAATGTCTCATACAAGGTCAGCATTTACAGTTACAGCTCAACGATGACAAGAAGAGTAGCTGGATTCAAGTATTTGAGCTTTCTGTTGAAGCTATACAATGAGAGAAGAACAACAAATGAACCTGCGATGCTAAAACCAAGAAAGACCTTGTGGTTTTTATTCTGCTCAGTTAGACCTCTTTTATTTGAATATGCATTGTTCAAGCTTTTAGGAAAGCTTTGATCTCTCAAGGATCAAACTTCATGAGAGAGTTTTAAAATGTATTTGGGCACTATATACTTTTTGAGTCTTGACCTTTATACTCCTGCCTTTAAGATTTTCTCCATAACCATACAAACACAAATTTTTATTTTAATAGGACCTTCAAAGGCCATTATTTATTGACCAGATGCTGATAGTTTAAAACCTTGGTGCTAAGAATTTTGTGATATAACGATTTTGGCTAGCAGTATTGCAAGTCTTGTGTCTTGTAACATCTATCCCTGCATTTAGTGTGCTCGACGTATATCTAAACCTCTCTTCCCCGAGCAGCGGCATTGCTTCCATCCTCCAGATGAACAATGCCATTTCACACGGACGAGCAAAGCGATGGCCAGGCGGCCCCGTGCCTGCCCAAGTGACCTTCTGCTGATGAACTCCAGGAGATGCTCACGGATGGAGACGGGTGCCGGTCTCTTAAGCTGATGCCAGTTGTGGTTGTTGCAGTCACACTCTCCCTCTGCCCTCACAAATGTGTTCCTCCCTTGCACTGGCACCAGGGCTTCTCTGATCCACTCGTGAGCCACCTAAGGGGGTTGGAAACAGAGGAAAAGTGTGTGGTTGTCAGACAGGTCAGCTGCCAGAGCCAACTCGCTTCCCTGGGGCAAGCACCAGAGCCTGCCCAAGGGAGGGACAGGGACCCCTGAGCAGGGGCAGGGGAAGCCCTCCGACCTGCACCGCATTTCCCCTGAGGCATAAACCACCCAGAGGCTGCCCTGTGTTGGCTGTAGGCTGACCGAAAGACAGGATCGTACTGAAAAGGGTGTCCAGGTCTATTAGGAAAATGCTCCAGATGATAGAGTTTTTCTGGAGTTAGTGTTTTTCTGGGTCATTGCCCTGGTTTGACTTAGCTTAGGACAAAGGGGCCCCCCACCTGCTACAGGAATGGCAGGCAGGACCCCCTTCCAAGAGGAGCCTGCATTTAGGGTGGTTTAAAGCAACCATGGAATTGCTTTAACCTAATTTAGAAGAATAGTTTACCTAAAAAAAGAGGATAGCAATGTTTAAATGGCAAGGGAGCATGCACCTGGCCGGCCAGCACATCTGTGCTTGGAGCCATGCTTGAGATCCCACTTCTGCAGACAGATCACCGCTCCCTCCCTTATCTCCCTGCGTGCAGCTCCTCCATCCTGCTGCCAGCAGGTCTGGTTGCTCGGCTGCCAGCAGGCTCCACTTCTCCCAGTGCTCCTCTCTGACCTGCTCCCCCAGCAGCAGCCAGCTCTGGCTCTGCCCCAGGCTGTGAACAGGCAGGAGAGGTTCAGGCTGCTGCTGGGGAGAGGACGGCGGAAAGGAGGGAGAAGGAGCTCAGCGCAGAAAGCCTCTCCCTTGCCAGCAGACAAGGCAGGGGTGCTGGAAGCACAGTGCTGCATGCAGGGAACGAGAGTCACCACCTCTCTCCCCTACTCGGCAAAGAAACGGGGAGTAGCTGTGCGCCCGTGTCCTGCACATCCCTCCTGAGAACATGTTGATTACTCGCTGAGCTGCATGGGCTGCAAACTGGCTGCCATCGCCCTCCTCCCCGTTCCCGCAGAGCTTGCCTCCTGCCGCCGACACGTCTCTCCACCTGCGGTTCCCGCTGCCGAAAATCCCACCAACCACCACTACCTGCTCCTTGCTCAGAGATGGCTTAGCACTGCGGCTTAAGACCAAAGCCGGCCTGTGCACTTTGTATTTCTGTGCAGCGTGTCCCCGTTGCGAGAAAAAAGACCCCGTGTGCTCCCGCAGAGGTGAGCGGGACATCTGTCCTCTGCACTGCCTCTTGGCCCTGCTCGGCTCACCCAGAGCCTTCCTTCACGGGTGAAACCAAGGATGCGTCATGAAAATTCGCAGCAGGCCCATGCCGGCCGAGGAGAGAGGCTAGGACGCAAAGTGTAGACTTAGAAGAGTTATTCATGCACGTGCGGTGTCCCAGCCAAATTGGGGCACCCCAGCTGTGGTTTCACACCGGGTTCTCATGGCCTTCAAACGTTCGGGTCCGACACGATTTGACTAGTCACTAACACCTGCAGTACCGATTACTAACCATAGTAAAACTTTGCAAAGCAACTTTATTTTTGCAGCATTCTTGCTGCTCGTCTATTGGTCCAGACGACCCCGGAGTCAGCCTTGCTGGAGTTACTTATGTGTAACACCAGACGATACCGGGAGGGTTTCAAAGAGCTGTCGGAGGGGCGAGGGTGCTGGTGTTATCTTGGCTGTCCAGGGGTATCCTCTATCCTCCACGGAGAGCTCTAACCTTCCGAGAAGCGAAGTCCTGACTTCCAGGGCCGGGCTGTCCTTTAGTTTGTTTTACTTAAGCACGAGCAATACCCAAGTCTCCGGTGAAATCCCACTACCTCG